AACAATTTATTACACGGTTATGCTCATAAAATTTAACTAACAATTTATTTCATGGATTTGCTCATAAAATTACAACGTTGGGCAACAATGCATGCCCCAGACCTGGAGGTAATTTGTACAATTTAAACAATATTATAAATCCCAGCCCTGATGGTGATCTCAATAAAGGTCGAAACAGTGGCACAATAAAGAAAATGTTATTCTAAACCAACGTCACACCAGACCGCAACTCGCGATCTCCAAATAATCATAAATTAACGGTCACTAAATATCACACATATAGAATAAATTATTCTTTTTATGTAAGGTCATGGTCGAGATAAAAAGTCAGAACGGGATTCGAACCCTCGACCTTCCGCTAAATACGCCGCTGCTCTACGACTTGAGCTATAGGGACTTCGATCCTCTCGAACACCAATTGTCCATCTCAGCCCACAACCGTTCGAATTTTCCCTCTTTTTGCCGTTTGCAAATTTCGTATAATCAGGATTCGATTCTCAGCGACTTACGAAGTGGCCACGAGGAGCTGTTTAGTGACGTGATACTTCTTTTACCTATTAAATACTAATCCAATTATGTTTTAGCAGTCAATTGACCAAGTTACTTCTTTCAATTAATTATTCTTTTTATGTATCTTATGTATCTTTATGTATCTTTTATGTAAGGTCTGGGTTGAGATAAATTATTTAGCCGGGGGTCGTGGGTTCGAATCCCGCTCGTGACACTGACTTTTTTATTTCAACCAACACCTTACATAAAACGTAAAATATATAATAGATGTTTACAAACCGACTTGTTAGATATTCGCAGGTTATAGAACATAGTGTATGAGTATTTTTATTTATTATAAAAATACTTTTTTTCGTGAAAATGAGGATTATAGCGCTGACAAAAGCCTGATAAAGTAAATGGGTTACTTTCCTTCATGTATCAAATTCCACCGTCGTCTATCTGCGTGTTTAATGCTAATGAAAGCGTACGAGAATGTTCTCTANACAATGTTTGTAAATCCCAAGCCCTGAAGATGATCTCAATAAAGATCGAAACGTTGGCACGATAAAGAAAATGTTTTTCTGAAACCTACATCATACCAGACCGCATCTCACGATTTCTTAATAAGCATGGACTATCCGTCACTAATCACCGCACATGAATAAAAACTTTAAACCAAATAATCACCTCAAAAAACTACTAAAAAAATACTTTCCAAACAAAAATTAAATTATTAAAGTAATCTAAAAAAAATGACGACGCAAAGATACTGTTAGCACAAAAAAATTATTCTGGTACGATTTATCTACAAGAAAATATTTCAACGGTCATTAAAAATGTAAAAACAATAGATAATAATTTAATGATATATCAGTATATAAAAATAAAATTTTTGGAATTGCCTTTATATATATAAAATTAAAGGTAAAATGTACAATTCTAATAATGACAATTTTCATAACTCACAAATATTGACAAACAAAACATAAATTTTAAAAATGTAAATTGAACTCTAAAAGAAAAGAAGGAGACAAGATTAATTTCGTTAAAAAATTTTACTTAAATATAAATAGCAGTAGTAAAATTTGCAACAACAAAAAACTAAGGTAAAAATTTGTGCACAATGTAGTAATATTATAGAGATAAAAATAAAATGAAAAAATTTAATCAAAAAGAATTTAGGTCAGAATTGATAACCTTAGATAGATAAATGAATTAAAGGTTAGTCATTGTTGGGAAGTCCACTGGTATGTGTACTATTTTAATATATTTTAAGATAAAACGCTAATTACTCAGGCAACTAGCCTTAACTTTTATTAAAGTTTTTAGTAAAAGTTATGAAAATCAAATTTAGACCAAGATAGAAACTTAATGTTACAGTGATTAATTTTCGTGGTACGCTTGACCAATTAATATCTTTCAATTACTTAAGGTTTTCAGTTGAGATAAAAAAGTCAATTTCCCGAGCGTGATTCGAACACACGACCTTCGGCTAGATACGCCGCTGCTCTATCAGATGGGCTATCGTGATTGTATCTCAAATAAAAACCTTAATTAATTGAATGATACTAATAGGTAAAGCGGACCACGAAACTTAGTGAATTTAATAAGTTAAATGAAGTATATCTTCACTAAAGCTCTCCGTGGCTATTTCATTTGTCGCCGAGAATCAAATAGAATACACGACATTTGAAAAATGTCAAAAAGGAGTGAAAAGTCAGAATGTGGGGTTGAGATTGTGTCGGAGTGGATCGAGATCACGATAGCTCAAGTGGTAGAGCAGCGGCGTATTTTGCCGAAGGTCGTGGGTTCGAATCCCGCTCGTGACACTGACATTTTTATGTCAAGTAAAAATCATAATTAATTGAAATATATTAACGTTAAAGATTGGTACTAAATTAATCCTGTGTGAAAATTGTTTTCGGAGGTTTCCTTTTGTCCCTAGTTTATTTTTATAGCTCTTAATTAGCATATTTATAATAAAATTTAAAAGAAATATATTTTTCTATGGTCGTTTTTCTGCATTTATGCCTCTTTTAAGGGCGCACCCAGTATGCTAAACCAGCAAGACTGAGAGTGTTGCAGAAGTGTTGGTTTTCGCCGTCAGTGCAGATTTACAGTTATGCCAATTAATGAATAAACGAGCTCATAAATTAGTTGTTTATATTACACATAATAAAACATTCAATTAAAAAGAAAGAAAATTTAAAGCTTGAAGTTTGACTGAATCACACGTGGTCGGGGTCATAAACTGGACTTACTGTTTTGTGTGATCGCTTACTTTCTTCAGGACAATTTTATCCATAGCACTGAATTGATAAATTTAAGACTAGAATTACAAGGAAAAAAGTATTTCCTTTGAAGGTGTTTTCCTATTTTGTCTGTGATATTTGCAATAATGCAATAATTATTTTATGTTGTAAAAGGACATCCTTCTGGTCCTTGGAAAAGAACAACAGCCAAGAAGCAAAAAATATCTCTAAATTGCTGAGAAAGGAAAAAGTTCACCGGAATGCACCTCGTTCAAAACTTTTATTTTTCTATTAAAACTTGATGTTAAATGCAAAATTGTTGTGTCTGATAAGAATATATATCAATAATTATTCAATTGACGTTTTTTATATTAAAAGAATTTCAACGATGATAAATAAAGAAAAATAGAGTCACAAGAAAATTAAAGTGGAAATTCGTTTAAAAATGTATTCCTCATAATTTTGTGCTAATGCATTGATTGTTCCCATTTTGTAAAATTATATATCTTTTTAGGCTTTTTTAGTATAAATCTGAGTAGTACAGGTTTAAGGACTTGCTATTCAGGCGATTTGCAATGCACAAGTACCACAAAGTGTTATGACTTGATTATTCGGGAGAGCGTTTTATTACACGCATGATTGCCTTTCTAATTAACTTTTGCACGTCTGCGGAGGTGTGATAAACGTGCAAAGGCGTATTATCCGGCCAACACATGACGAATATTAGGCGAATATATTGGGTTGTCCGGAAAATAATGCAGGATTTTGGTATTAAACAAAAAAAAAGAAACTAGTTACTTTAAAGCAATGTTCTTNAAAACTTAAAATCCTGCATTATTTTCCGGACAACCCAATAATATGTCTACTGTAAATGGAAGGATCTGCTCGTGATGGCCGGGGAGAAGGTGGAGGTGACTCCCTTGTTTGTTGATTACGATGTAAATGGATTCCTGTCTATTGTACGCTATTTCATCATCAATATTCTAAGAGGCCCTTATGCAGCACATACATTGTGGCGAACCACGAACCTCTACTTCCTATGGTTAGGCACGCAACTAAATCAATCATGGCCAAAATCACAGGAAATTAATAATACTTGGATAATCAATCATCCCGGAATACGGAAGTTCTATCAGACTTTTACAAGGACAGTTTTAGAAACATGAATTTGTCGGTAAATTAAGAAAATTATATGTTATTTTTACGTCAAATGCCAAATTAGCGAATGTTCGGAACTTAATTAATTTATATAAGTAGATAAAGGGAACATTTTACATGCCATTTTTACGTAATTCTAGCAAAATCCTCGATAAAAGACGGTCCAAGTTAATCAATTTAAAAAAATTATATTTCGAGATAGAGGTTATGTCTCTCTCTTCTACTCTTGATATCTAATAAGCCTACAGATACCAAACAATTCTGTGTCGAACATAGGACTTTTCTATTTCCAAAACGAAGCACTTCCTTTTGTTCTATTTTGACCCAACTCTGTTTTTAAGTGCAATGAGTAATATTTTTCAACATTTTTGATAAATATTAAGAACTTTTTTTTTAAAGTTCTTACTGTTATTAACCTTTCAGGATACAAAACCACATTTTTTTCAAAATAAATAGTTTAAAACATATTGTAATCACAATAAAGTACAGTCTAGCATAGAAAAACTCGAAGATTTTGTGAAATCTTTCTTTGAAAAATTTAACTTCGAGTTTTTGATATTATCTAGAAAACTACAGTCAAACTTTTTCGTAAAGTGCAAATTAAATTCTTTTAAAATGAAAATGAAAAAGGTAACTTCACAAAAATTGAACACAGTATAACAAGGAACAAAAATGACATACATACTTCGAAGAACGGAAAGCAAAGAAGGAAGATAATCGGTTTTTGGACATCACTGCTCAAAAAATCAATGGTCTAAATAGACGACAAAATATGTCTGTGACATTCAGGTCCATGTCTCAGGACATCCATCTTAAACTTAAACCGCCGTTAAAAAAATAAAAGGCCCAGCAAAGCTTTCACTCCAAGACCATCCGTGGATCCAATATAGCGCTGGTCAGGACTTATTGAGTTTTTATTTATCAATTTCTTCATTGGTATATTTTACAATGACATCAATCATGGCTTGGTTGATGAATAAGAATACAATGATCTCTNTCAAATTTAAGTTGTGACCCTCGTCATGTTTTATAAAATGTATTTCATCGTTTTAATTGTTTTTATATTGTCAATTGATATGTCTGTTGTTTTGTCCACAGTTCCACCGGAACAGCTGAGCGTTCTGGACGAAAAAGGCGAACACATTCCTCATTACATTCTCGGACCTTACAACGAAGGGGCGACAGTCGATATAACCTGCATATCTACTGGAGGTAAGACTTCTTTATTTGATAATTTTCAAAATATGCGTTTTTAGTGAATTCAAATATATATATTTAAAAAAAAAATAAAAAACCTCCAAACGAATATAAATCCTCTTTCACATTTTTAACTATGTAAAACTATCAAACACTTAGAAGAAAAAATATAATATATAGAGTGTATGAAATGCTAGTCATCCAATTCAAATATTTTACCTAAACTTTAACTAACTAATAAATAGGATAAACATCTTGACAACCGACAAGCCCCATTTACAATTACTTGACAGTCAAGTGTCTTTAGAATCGATTATTAATTATGATAATCATGGTTTTTTGCCTGAGCAAATAAGGAAAACTATTCAAACCCTAGTGAAACAAAACGTTCACGGCTGGGTTAAGGCTCATTGAGGAATATAGGAAAAGGAAGAAGCTGACAGACAGGCCAAATTAGCATCTACTGACGATAGTTTAAATTTGGCATACGCCAAACTTCCAAAGTCATCAATTATTGTATAAATAAGTTTTTCGAAAAGAGTCTAGAAGAATGGGAAAATATTAGGGCCAAACTCAGAGGAGTGGTAGGACTACTAACCGGCCACTGGCATCTGAGAAAACATCTACACAACATGGGTATATATAACGATGCAAATGGGCAGATTATGTAATGAGGAGGAAGAAACAGCCACTCATATCATCTTCAAATGCGAAGCAACAGCTCAATGGAGATTAAACCTAACGTACGGAAAAAAACAGGGACTCAAATTGCAGCAGTGACAGTCACCTGATACTCCTAAGGAGAAGGATTGAGTCTATTGCACTGAACTAAGGAACCAGGAAGGTACAATAAGCCAGAAGGCTGCAGTGCCTGGGGAATACAAATCCCGCTTCCTAGTATCCTTTTCTACCATACCGTGTGAAAATATTTGGTCAAGTACAAATAATGGAAGGCAGACATAAAACTTCTTTCCCAAATTTGCCGATAGATTCCAGCAGCACATAAAACTATCCGCACCACTAGCCCACATCTTAACTGAACACGGCCAAAAAAGCATGTATTTTTTCCGCTTGGGGACCGCGGTAGCCGAGTGGTTAGCATGAGAGACTCTCACGCCGCGGTCGTGGTTTCGATTCCCACCGTCGCCTCTGGCCCTTTTTTCACAATAACCCCCCCAAATTTGAACACACATATACGAATTGTCACATGGCTAATATGCATAGTTCATAACGCAAAAAAAAAAAAAATTTCCGCTTTCATCTAAAGGAATCCTCATCTACAGCTCGTCAAATTTTCCAGTAGAACAAAGTATAAAACATCTAATATATGAGTGTCCACTAATAGAACAACTGCGTAGTGTTTGGATACGGAAGTGCCTACTGCAAGACAAGAAGTAGCCCCCTGATGAGAAGGACCTCATGAAGAAAGAATATTACGAACATTTTGACACATTCATCAAAACAATAGATTTTAATGTGATTTAGTTAAATGTTAGGTTATTTGCTTATTTAGTTTTTAATTAGTTTTCTATTTATTAACGCTATTCATTATTATTTAACAATTTTCAATAATTGCAGTAATTGTCTGTTCGCCTTAATATGATATGTACATATATACATTTTATATTTATGGTTATTGAATTAAGTGTAATATTTTGTATGAAGCACGTAGAATAAAATATTAAAAAAAAGCCCCAGTTTCAGTAAAATGCTTATAATATCCACTGAAACGATCTTCAGGCTCTATGATGAAGAAGAGTCTGCGGAAATTATCTCACCTGTGAAGCCAGAATTAGCTCAAATCTCGAAACTTTACTACAAATATAGACCAAATCTAGAATCCTTAGTGCCAATTAGTGCCCTCCTGGACCTAATCAAAGGGTATGATTTAGGAGAGGCACTTTGAACACAGAGAATCAAGAGATACGATAAGCCTAAATGGCTGCTGTGCCGGGCTGAACCGACCTTGTTTTGATGATAACCCCTACCACCAAGTTATTAATTTACTGTGTAGATCCTATTAATTTTCCGATTATTATTCATTTTTTAACTAAACGTTTCCACTTTTTTATTCGTTTGAAACGTAGGCTTTTGTTTTGTAGGATTTTTACCTGCGAAGGCTTAGTATGAATTAATTTTTTACCACTTTCGTCATTGAATATTGTCAAAATACGAAATAATCTTTTCCAGAGATATAGACACTAAATACAATATGCTATTGGTCTCTTGCTTTCATTTTAGGGCAGATTAACTAGGAAATGAGAACAAAAACATTCACCTTTTGTTTGCAAAGCTTGTTGACCAGAAATAACTCTGAATAATGACTTAATATGTTTAGTTTAAAGAAAAGTAATATAATTTCTGTCATACAGGAAATCTTAACTGCTGGTTGGGTATCGCGGACAAGGATTCATGGCACAATTTTTGAAAAAATTATTTACCTTCTTTTACGAGGGTTCACAACAGCAGAGGTCATATCAACCCTCAGGATTTCGGCTTTTTTGAAAAAAGCCCAATTATATGTCGGGTTCGAAAGCAGGGACCTTACAGTAATGAACGCAGCATCAATGCCTAGACCGTTGGGGCTACGACTAGACGTAATAAAAATATATTTAAAAAATTAATTTAAAAAACTTAAAGTTAAGGACTACAGCTTAATCGTGTCACGACATCATAAACTGGGCTTACCCACTGAAAATCGTGTGATTTCCTTTCTCTCCGCTGACCAATTTTATCTTTAAAGCCCTTTAACACGAATTTTTACAGGAAACAAAAAATTAATTTTTCGGGAGGAATTAGCTGGCGGTAATTTTATTCTTCAGATATGCGGTTGTTCCACATAAAAATGTATAACACTATCGAATTTTATCCAAATACATTCATAGTTCATATATTACTTGTTTCTATTACACACAATAAACATATAAATCTTAAAACCTAAAGTTTGAAGTTAAGGACTAGTACTAAATAACTAAAGATGAATTTTTATAGGAAAGACGCTAATGTTCAGGTTTTTAATGTAAAAGTTGATAGCTTATATGGATTTTATCCGAAGTTAATGTTTTTAAGGCTGTTGAAAAGCTTAATATCACTTCATCACTACAGCTTATGTCAACAATGTGTACATTTTGTGTAATTAAAAGTTAAAAAAATCGATGAATTCAAAAAAACTACTCAGACCTTTTATTTAATATCTCTGGTTCGGATTCATCAACGGAGATTAAGTTTGTGCCAGTAGGTTTTGTTCAGAAAATTAAAATGTAATACAAACTTTCATATCGATCAATAAAGTTGGTTCACAGTTAAAAGCATTTTGGTGATTTTCGACAAAAATCGTAGCCACTTTGAAGACGACAAATTTTAGAAAACAAAATATTCCTTAATTTTGTCAAAAATGAATATTCAGTTTTTTTTTTATGTTACTTAAGACAGGTACAAGAAAGGCAGAAAAACATATTTGAAAAAAAATTGTTCATTATTTCCTCGGCTCCTAGGGGCCCATTGTCAAGAAAGCTCGAAAATGTGACTAATATTTTTCAACCTAGTTTCACCAGAAAAGTTTCTTTAACGTAAGTATTTTCACTTATGATTTTTCCTTCTCCAAGGTGGGATAATAGGTCATCTCAAAAAAACAACAACCAGGTTTTCTTTCAATCAACAACGTTTTTTATGGCGTTTTTGGATGTGAAAGTAGCACATAAGATTAATGGAAATCTGACGAGTTGGTACTCAAAACCCATGGCATCGAACCGGCTATATGTCCTCCCATTCACGGTCAACTAAAATTAAAGTGCTAATTGGCTTACTAAAAAGGGTTTTCAATTTGTCGTCGAAAGATGTTACCGATAAAGACAAAACATTGGTTCGGGAAATTTAAAAAAACTGGGTACCCGAGAAAAATGGTAAATAAATTTACTGAATTCCTTGTCTGGAAAGAATTTCCCGCTAGTTAAGTTGGCTTTCCGAATCAGTAATGCTGTTAAAAAGTACTACTCACCGCTAAAAGATAAAATTGAGAAAGGACTACAATCAGGCCTGGTATAAAAAATTGAATGCAAAGACTGCAAGAAAGATAGTATGGTGAAACCAAACAGTACCTAAATAATAGAATTTATCAACATAAATATACAGGGCAAAATAGTAAAAACAATGAAACTGCCTTGGCACAATATGCAGTTGTTGAAGGTCATACATTTTTATTTGATCATGTTAGTTTTGTTACAAAGGAAAGAAATTGTAAAAAACGAAAGTTCCTGGAGGCCCTTTACATAAAAAAAGATAAACTGTGTGTTAATTACCGTCAAGACTGTGATATGATAAGTGATTGCTATTTCAATTTGTAAAACAATATATAGAAATAATCTAGTCAATTTTAAACTTTGGAGAAAACTTAAAATCTGTGATAATTGTATTAATAATTTTTAAAATGTTGTTAATAAAATAAATAAAAATTGTTGTTTAAAAGTGGATTTTTAAGAAAAATGTAATTTTAACTGTTGAGTGGTTTTTTTCATGTTAATTCGTTGGTCTGTGATAAGTTGTTGATTCGAGGTTGAAACGTCAAATTTGGTTGTGATAAGAGTCTAGTCAGGTTCAAAATATTAAAACGTTTGTTCGGAGCCTGAAAGACTTAAATATGTACCACACTGGCTCTTATTTAAAATAAACTGTTACAAAATATTAATGATTGACGACCACTGTTTTAACTGTAAGTAGTGAAGAAACAATGATAACCATGTTGGTCTAAAAATGTAAGAAATATTTGTTCTGTGTGTAGGCGTAAACTCACCTGAGGAAGGATTAAAACAAATCCGAAACGTATGGATTGAAAGAAAAACTGGTTGTTGTTTTTTTGTGATGACCTATTATCCCACATTCGAAGAGGAAACATCATAAGTTAAACTGTTGAGGTCGAAATGTAAATATTTTCGTCGATGCAGACCGTAATTTGAATGTTAGGGTGTAAAACTGTGTTAGAATGGTCCTTGATGTCCGAAAACTCTCAGAACAACCTAAACAAGCAATATTTTTATACATTTTTAGATCGTTTTAAATTTTAAAATTACATTAGTAATCTATAAGGAAGTCATATTAAAACCAAATAGAAATTCAGTCAATATCTTAAATGTGAAGTGGTGTGAATGTATTTATTCGTGTGAATNTTACTTTACCTACGTTTAAGTGCATATTTAATATTCATTTATTACAACTGATCTCACTTCATGCATCGTAACTATCTTGAACATGCCAGTGTCTTATTCCTCCGACATCCAGACTAGACACTCCCGGAAACGTATAATTTATACAAAAAATGAAAACGGGGGAAGAGCTAGGAGAACATTAAAAGGACATTAAGAGTTCCATGAAAAACGTGACACGGCCGTCCCAGGCCCAAGGTTTTTATTATATATACTTTTTTCTTCTCTTATCCGGCGAATTTTGTAGAATCTATAAGTTTTTGTCTATAATATTATCCAACAGGGGTATTTTTTTAAATAACAATGAGTTCAATGAAGTCGAACTAATACGTATGTTTAATGAAAATTTTTGTCTCAATTTAATAAATCATAACATGAAACTCCTTTATAAAACTACGAAAAAGTAACAGGTAACGCCCAAGAACCACCTCTATAAGTACTATTTTATAAATTTCTGAATACTGATTTATATAAGCTCCAATCTGCACATATACACATACACGAGTGTATAGGACACATAGCTTTTGAAATTTACAAAATTTCAATAAATTACCGAGAATCACCCACCTCAGGTGTCCAGGGTGACATGATAGGTCAAAGGGAGAGAACTAGATTGGTTTAAGAAATTTGAAATTAAAAAAAAAATTGAACATGGAGATAAATGCATTATTAATATAATAGATTTTGATCTACCTCCCATTTTAAATATGTACATAAATAATATTAAACGTCCAAATAATTAAATTAATATAATTTGAATTGTTATTATTTTTACAATAATTTAATAATATTAAGGTATTATTCTAACTTTTATCTTTTATCTTTAATCACTATTTTATAATTAATTTCTTACAATATTTACTATTATAATATTTACTTGTGTTATAATTCCCGCGTTTCGCAAGTTTAAATTGAGCGCCATTAAAAAAACCAGCTGCTAATTGGAACGTCGCGTTGGCTGGAGTATCAGCGGGTTCACTTTTGCAATTCATGTCGAGAGACGTGGTTGTAGAAATCCTTCAACCTGATGATGAGCTAAGGGCTTGAAATCTGGATCGTTGAAAACAACTTACTGTGAGTAAGGACTTTTTTTTAAAAAGGATTGAACACCACACTCACTCCATCATTGATCATTTCTAAGTAGATCATTCCCAAAGGTCCCTAAATCCATACACACCCTCGTAAGTACAATACATCATTCGTGGAGTTCACGATGTCCCTCCTTCACTATTTAAACTTATTATACGATTAACATAATGGAAGGTCGATTGGGTACTCAATAGGTCTTCTCAAACTGTACCATCACGCTAGTAAATACATTCACACGCTAGATATATATTAGGCATGGTGGGCGACCAAGACCCGAGGGGTTAAATGCCTGGGTCGACTCGTGCCCCGTCCCTAAAAGGTCCGGGACTTGGTTTGTTCACAAACCCCAAGATTTTAGACCATTTTATCTCGGGGAGTGATTTGGTGATGTCCGCTCCTTCAAAGATCCCACGCTAGATACACGAAACTATATAAAACTATTTAAAATAAAACAAGTCAGTTTTCTCCAAATATCGGTACACGAGGATCAAATACTCGCTGTCGTGCTCAAGCTACATTGATGTGTTTATCGATATGCCATTCTCATATCAAATGGCATTGTTAATATGCAAGGCATTTGCGCCCTTCATTTAGGTGGTACTATTCGAGAAACCTTCCTCTGCATGCCTGATACGCGGTCCTTAGCCCAAAATTAGGTGTTCGTGTGTCAACCTCGCATGGCCTATTCTTAATCGGGTAACTGAATGATTTTCTTTCTTTCCAATTTATCTATATCTGGTCTTTCGTACACAAGTGTAATTTTAAGGCAGAATCAATCAAATGAAGATAATTTATGCACATAGATCTAGAATTTAAACGAAAATAAATGGGATGTACTTATATATAATTATATCTTGTTTAAAATATTTTCTATTATAATTTTGAGCATTGTAATATCCAACATATGACGTATCGTTGCTGTTTGATGTGTTTAATTCTGCTTAGCCATTACTAGGGTCGATTTATTTCAAGATTAATTTGTTAATTTGTGACCAATTTTAACAAAGCTCTATTTTTCAGGTCGACCACTCCCAAAATTAACCTGGTGGCAGGAGAACGCTCTTTTGGACGATTCCTACGAGGTGATATCGGAACGTAAAGTGCGAAACGTTCTCCGGGTGACGCAGTTGGAAAGGCGACACCTTCACGCCGTCTTCACCTGCCAAGCGTCCAACAACAACCACCTTTCTCCGATTTCCAGCGCCGTCACACTCGACATGAACCGTGAGTCAATTCCCGATTCAATTTTCAACTTCTAGGCTAAAATAAGTCTGACAAGAGGCTAGGCGGAGTGAAATAAATCGATGGCCCATTGTCTAGATGTAACACAATGCTGTGCTTTTAGGGATGACTTCCCGAGTGCATAATCGCGTTTGGTTCAGTTTTGTCCCCTGCTCCCTTCACGAACGTTATACCGACAAATCGAATTATTCCCTTCCTAAGCCCCTTAATCCAAATGGTAACTAAAAGCTGATCCGAGTATAAACTGACTTGAGAGAACGCGGATCAAATACCATCTTAGGTTTGGGTGTCTTTTCCCGTCACCATTGACGATTCGAACTGTTGGTACAAATATACGTCAATGACGCAACAGTGAATAAATGAAAAAATATGAGGTTTATGTAAAACGCCATTGAGATAATTTTGTTACAACTTTAACAACAACTGGTAAAATCGATATTCCGTAAGGATTTCGATACCATGAATGAAGTTAGAGGAATTCCACGAAAAAATAAGTCAAATGGACTTGTGTCCTCCGAGTTTAAGGGAGGAACACACTTACCCTATGCAAATCCAAAGTCCAAGTTTCCATAAGATTGTATTACCCCCCTGCACATCTGCCCGATGCCACACAACGCTACCCTACTCTATACTCTGCGATCCCCACCGCCCAGATTTCGTCGGGTAGCATCGAGTATCGAGTAGTAGCGATGCACCCAAGTTCCCCACTGTCCAGATTTTCGTCGAGCACACTGGAAGACAAAATAACCGGACACTCATATTTTTATTTCAAACTATATGTATTAAGCGGTTCGGGGGACCGCGGTAGCCGAGTGGTTAGCGTGAGAGACTCTTGGCTCATAGTGGGTTCGATTCCCACCGTCGCCTCTGGCCCTTTTTTCACGAACTCCCCCCCCCCAATATGAACACACATACAAGAATTCGTCACCATGGTTAATATGCATAGATCATAAGGCAAAAAAAATGTATTAAACGGGGAACCCACCCAACGCAGCGCAACGCGATGCTACCCGACGCCTTGTCCCGTATTGATGAGGTCGCCTAGTACAGACACACAGCGGGTGTCACAAATCTATTTTGCCTCTTTTGCTGTTAATGCATTATTATGAGCAAAACCATGTAATCCATTGTTAAATTTTATGAGCACAATCATGTATTAAATTGTTAGTTAAATTCGTTCTATCAATAAATTATATTCCGGTGATTGGATAAATGTTCTGCCCAACCATCATAATAAAATAATTTTTAAAAACTGATCTCTTTTAATTTGGTTTACATTAAAATAAGCATGTTGTAATAAATGTAACGACAATCATTCATACAGTTTCAAATAAAAATATGAGTATCCGGTTCTTTTGTCTTCGAATGTACTCATGCTACCCGACGAAATCTGGGCGGTGGGGATCGCAGAGCATAGAGTAGGGTAGCGTTGCGTGGCATCGGGCAGATGTGCACGGGGGTAATACAATCTTATGGAAAATTGGACTTTGGATTTGCGTCGCATAGCGTTGCATCGGGTAAGTGTGTTCCCTGCTTAAACAGAATTAGGGTTAAAATCTCTGAGTTAAATAATGCCTTGTTCAGGAACGACAAAATGTCCTGACCAGCGGTCCGGTAGAAACCCCACATTATCAGATTTTACTTCCGTTATATGATCGTTCACTGTACAGGTTTTAATGAGAGGAAAGCATGTGTTATTTTCTGAGTACGTGATCTGATTGTGAGAAAAGTCGCTAAGGTAAAAGATATCCAACAACTGTGTACAATCTCCCAAGTTTCGATGAACGGTTAAATAAAGGTGTGTCTTAGAATTTGAGTTTATGTTTTCAAGAACAACAAAAACGTCACTTCAACCGATTGTAGACTAATCACCAATGTAAACAACAGTTGATACAGTTAAGATAAACATTTAGTTAAAGTAAACAACGCGGCAAATATTGAAAGTATCAACAATCGTTGAAAAAAATTAATTCTACTGACCGATAAATTGTATTGATATTTTTTAAAAAGACAATGTTACAATCCTATGAAGACATTTAATGCTAAATTTAGTTAAATTTTAACGTATACAAATATTAAAACAAAAAAAAGGAGAGAGAGGTCTAAATTGGGCTTTAAAATTACTCCCTGAACATCCTTCATTCGGTCACATCACAATTAGTATATAATGACATACGTGATAATGATGATGGGTACTAGGAAGTGGAGGTTTTTATTCCTCAAGCACTGCAGCTTTCTGGCCTACTGTACTTTCCTGGTTCCTTAGTTCAGTGCAATCGAAATAATCCCTCTTCTCAGATATATTAGGTTGTTACATTCCTTACTCTTGGTTTTCCAGTTTATGTCTCCATTGAGCGGTTGCTTTGCATTCGAAGATGATATGTCTGGCGATTACGTCCTCTTCATAACACAACCTATAAATGGAGTCATCATTCAATATACCCATGCTATGTACATTTTTTCTGAGATGCCAGGGACATTTAGTCCTCTCACTCCTCTGAGTTTAGCCTTTTCTAACTCTAGCAGTGAGTTTTTGGGAACCATTTTGTGTCGGTTTTGTTATTCCAAAAAAATGTTCAAGGCCTATATATGGCCTTGCAGACCCTCTGGCAGTACGTCGGTGTACCCAAAATTTTCTTGTTTCCTGGTAGACAAGATATCATCAGGTTGTTATGTTTCCCAAGCTTTTGGAGATGTTGGAATATTAGTCTGATTTTTTACAAGCTAATTTGTTGGCTACTTAAGCTAGAAAAGCCGAAGGTACATTCCTAAGAAGTTTGATTGATTCTTATGTTTTGGGATTGTACAGAAAACCCCTGATCCGTTTCCTTCATTTGTTTTGTAACCATTTTTACCATAGCATTGTATCTGATTCCACATGATCTCAGTCCTCTCAGTCCTTTTTTTCGCCTTTTTCATTCAAAATTAATTAAGACTTTTTTAGTTGAGATAAAAAAGTCAATGGCACGAGCGGGATTCGAACCCACGATCTTCGGCTTGATACGTCGCTGCTCTACCACTTGAGCTATCGTGACCTCGATCCACTCGGACACTTCCCATCTCACCCCTCCTTTTATCTCAACTAAAAACCTTAATTAATTGTAATATATTAATTGGTCAAGCTGACCACGAAATTAGAGAATTAGTTAAGAGGTTTACGACAACAAAAGCCCATGCAATTAATTTTTGTTTGAACGATCAGATATATAAAAGATAGTTCGCTATGTGTTGCAAAAAAATTGAATTATGACTATAAATGAAGTGTAATACGGCAAAGATTAGTTTTCTAAATCAGCTCGTTTAAAAGAAACGGTTTTTGAACTTTTTGTCGGAAAAAATAGTTTGCCGTTCAAAAAATCTATGCATTTTTCATCAAAATTAAGATCATTTTTAAAAAGCACGTTCCATATTTTTTTTTAAGATTGAGTAATCACTTGAACCTTTTCAGTCCAATCATTAGCAAACAACCTTTAACCTTTAAGATTTAAACATTAGAACATCTTCGAAGAATTTAAAAAATTGACCGCGCTGTTAGAAAAGTTCATAGAGATCAAATTCCGGAGAAACATCATTTAATAAGCTTTCGGATAGTAAGCGTGGTAAATATTGTATATAATTTTTTTCGAGGAATATGGTAGATAATTTTTCTTGCACCTAGCTAAATATCTATTGGATCGAACTGATTACCGTCTCTATAATACAAAAATGCATCATAGATTGTCATCTATATACCATCTTCAAAAATCAAACGTATAAAACAGAAAATCTGGGACATGAAACATCCTCCCGTAATCACTAATTTTGTTGAAAACATCGATATCCTTCTGACAAGGTGTAGAAAGGAAAAATATTTTGAACATCAAGGGAATATTTGAAATGAAAAAGTTTAACACAACTTTACGTTTAGATGTAAAATGAGTTTTCTATCGCGTATGGCACTCGGCGCTGCTCTGAATGGGAGATCTAAGAGTAAGGGATAATCCTCCCTTTTTCCTTCTACCCGATCCTAAAATCCTATCTAACCTACAGATACTTTTACTTCATCAATGGACGCCCTCTTTACCAGCGGGGAATCGTACAGATGCAGGTATACTACAGTGAAATATCTTAAGGCCCTTCCTCTACACAGTATACATGGCACACATTCCTACTCTTCCTGAAACGATCCTTCGAACTTACTTGCCACTTATCATGATATCGCCTCTTTTGCTCTCATAAAGATCATCTTAACTATACCCCTACAAACCCAGGTCACATCCCGTGAGCACTGGTTCAAATTGTAGAAGGTGACTATAAACACATAAAAATGTGATTATGGCACTCTCATCCTTTGGAGAATAACCACTGCTCCCATCCGCTACAATAGTATCACTTTCACACCAGCTAATGTAGTCCGCTACATAGAGCTAGGCATTGACAAACGTCTCACGTGGAACCCACATATGCGACTCAAAAGATAACAGGGGTATTCAAGATGTTTGTAACGTGTTAACTCGAATAATGTCCGATAAGATCGTCAACGCCCCCTTCTTTTTTTAGCATGTTAGACGTTAATTTTTCTGCAGTGCTGCGCGTGGCGATTGGTAGAACCAAAAATAATGCTATAACAGTCCTTGAAGGCTTGCTGTTGTTTGTTTTGGATTTTTTTTATGCTAAATTGTAAGATGCCAGAAGTTAACAAAAAAGGAAAATTAATCAACTCTTTCATTCAAAATGCTATCTATGCACTCGAAAAGTACTAACAAATGATACGCTTCAATTCGTGCCGACATACTTAATTTGTATCCTAAGATCTAACAGTCTACAACTTTGTAGGGGAGGGGATGTATTTATTATGAATGAGAGTATAAGGACAGGTCAGAAATTAACAAAATAAATGTATTAGTTTGATATAATTATTGGGTATTTAAGAATAAAAATAGGTGTAAACAAAAAACAGCTGTTACATTCATGGCTGCCATGTTGGTTACCTAACGGATAGC